ATGGGTGGGTAGGATGAATGATGGGAGGGTGGATAGGTGGATGGATAAATAAGTGGATGGATGGATGATGGACAGATGGGTCAATGGTTGGGTGGATGCGTGGATGGATGGGGGGGTGGATGGATGGATGGATTGATGAATGAATGAGTGGATGGATGGATGGATGGATGGATGGGTGGGTGGATGGATGGATGGTAGATGGGTGCATGAATGGGCAGATGATTGGGTGGATGGGTGGATGGATGATAGATGGATGAATGGATGGGTGGATGAGTGGATGGATAGGTGGGTGGGTGGGTGGAGACTTGGCTTTCTCTTTCTGTTTTTACCCACCCACTCCCTTCTAGTCTGCTTTCCTAAGACCTGCTCTTCCCTCTTACTTTAAAGTCCCTGGCTGCTGGATATCACCACTTTAAGCAGAAAAGAGGAAATTTATCATTTCAGCAGCTAAGCGACCCTGTGATGGTGTCTACTCACTTATCTTATGTAAGGCATCAGCTCGTCCCTCGTAAAACAGGGTTGGTGATCCCTGCCTTAACAATTTCCCTGTACAGAGCATAAAACTTGGGTATTTTGGCTGGGCGCGGTGGCTCATACTTGTCATCCCAGCACTTTGGGAGGCTGAGGTGGGTGGATCACTTGAGGTCAGGAGTTTGAGACCAGCCTGGCCAATATGGTGAAAGCCTGGCTCCACTAAAAACACAAAAATTAGCCAGGCATGGTGGTGGGCACCTGTAACCCCAGCTATGCGGGAGACTGAGGCAGAAGACTCGCTTTAACTTGGAGGGCAGAAGTTGCAGTGAGCTGAGATCGCATCACTGCACTCCAGCCTGGGGGACAGAGTGAGACTTCATCTCAAAAAACAAAACAAAACGAAAACCAAGATTGGGTGTTTTGGCCTGATGTGGCAGCTCACACTTACAATCCCAGCACTTTGGGAGGCTGAGGTGAGTGAATCACTTGAGGTCAGGAGTTGGAGACCAGCCCGGCCAACATGGTGAAACCCCACCTCAACCAAAAATTAGTCCAGGCATGGTGACGGGTGCCTATAATTCCAGCTACTTGGGAGGCTGAGGCAGGAGATTCACTTGAACCTGGGAGGTGGAGGCTGTAGTGAGCCAAGATCAGGCCATTCCACTGCAGCTGGGGTGACAGAGCAAAACTTGTCTCAAAAAAAAAAAAAAAAAAAAAAAAAAGATTGGATGTTTTCTGTTTTTTAAGGCCTTGGAAAAGCCCTTAAAGGGTATTACTAATCTGGGGTGAAGCACCCCACCCCACACCCTCCCACCCAGTGACCTTCCTCCCGCCCACTCCTGTTGCAACATGGAGCGTGGCGGGCATCCCTGCCCTGTTTACCCCAGCCTCTCACTCTTCTGAGTGCTCCCTCTGCCTGGCTGTCCTTTCCCCGCTACTTCCTCCTCCCCACACACCACAAACCCAGCACCCACCGAGTGAGAAAATGCAGGCAGTCAAGCGGCATCCCTACTGAATCACTGAGGAGCAAAAATCAGAAGGGATGTCACAAGACGTCACGATGACTCGGGAACGATGGCTCACGCCTGGAATCCCAGCGCCTTGGGAGGTTGAGGTGGGAGGATTGTTTGAAGCCAGGAGTTGGAGACTAGCCTGGACAACATAGGGGGATACCCCATCTCTATTAAAAATTTAAAATTTTGCTGGGCATGGTGGCCTGCACCTGTTGTCCCAGCTACTCAGTAGGCTGAGACAGGAGAATCGCCCGGACTCGGGAGTTAGAAGCTGCAATTGCTCTGATCACGCCACTGCACTCCAGCCTGGGAAACAGAGCAAGACCTTATCTCAAAAAATTTTTTGTTTGGCCAGGCACAGTGGCTCACGCTTGTAATCCCAGCACTTTGGGAGGCCGAGGTGGGTGGATCACCTGAGGTCAGGAGTTCGAGAGCACCCTGACCAACATGGTGAAACCCCACATCTGCTAAAAATACAATTAGCCAGGCATGATGGCAGGTGCCCGTAATCCCAGCTACTAGGGAGGCTGAGGCGGGAGAATCATTTGAACCTGGGAGGCGGAGGTTGCAGCGAGCCAACATTTTGCCACTGGACTCCAGCCTGGGTGACAGAGAGAGACTCCATATAAAAAGAAAAAGAAAAAAACCTCTGCATGTATAAAGGGTCTTCCCATGACTTTTCTCACTTAGGGAGCAATCGCAATCCTCCCTAATTGCTCTGCCAGCAGAGGACAATTATTGTTGGCTAATGGCGAGGTGGAGCGGACTGGGGCCGGTGCTAGGCTAATGAAACATTGAGTTGGGCTGTCAGCATTTTTCACTCTGTAAGCACGGGCAGTGAGATCACGTGCTGCCAGCCTCCCTGGCTTCAGTCTTGGGACCCGCTGGCTGACTTCTCCAGTGTACACCCTGGCCCCAGTCATGCTGGGGGCAAAACCCACAGAGGAAGTTGTCTCAGAGTTGATCCACCATCTATTCATTCTTCAAATGCTGGCCAACGCACAGGTGATTTGCTCTGCACTTGGCGAGTAGAGAAATTGATCTCAAGGTGTTCAGATCAAGCACAAGACCGAGACACAGGCATCCGACGGGCCTCCAAATGACGAGTGCCACTGAGCTCCACTGTGCAGGTCCCATGTCAGTGTGTACCCTGGAATACCAGAGCAGGGAGCTGGAGAAGGGGAATGGAGAGAACCGTAGGGAGGCTTTGGGAGTGAACCTGGGAATGGGATGGTGGTGAGGGGAGTCTCTGAGCCTGAGGTCCTGACCTGGGATCCCGGAATGGGGGGTGGAGTGAGACTGGAGCCATGTCCCATTCTGTCTGATAAAGTCACGTCAATCCCTCACAATTAAACTGGATGTTATAACATACAGGGTCCTTTCAGACATAAACTCATGCCTGTTTATTAAAAAGAAAAAAATAACGTATAGGATCCTGCATAATTGCCAGTGCCTTTTGTCCTCCAACCCCATTCAGCTGTCAGCGATGTCCCTCCTGGAATTTCCTCCTGGTAAATTGGCCAGTTTTCCTGTGGTTTTGTTTTGTTTTTTTTCTTTCTTTCTTTCTTTTTTTTTTGGAGACAGAGTTTTGCTCTTGTTGCCCAGGCTGGAGTGCAAACAATGGTGTGGTGTGATCTCGGCTCACCGCAACCTCTGCCTCCTGGGTTCAAGCGATTCTCCTGCCTCAGCCTCCTGAGTAGCTGGGATTACAGGCATGCACTACCAGGCCCTGTCAATTTCATATTCTTAGTAGAGACGGGGTTTCTCCATATTGGTCAGACTGGTCTCGAACTCCTGACCTCAGGTGATCCGCCTTCTTGGCCTCCCAAAGTGCTGGAATTACAGGTGTGAGCCACCTCGCCTGGCTTGTTTGCTTTCTTTTTCTTTTTTTGTAAAGGTGGGGTTTTGCTATGTTGCCCAAGCTGGTCTTGAATTCCTGTGCTCAAATAATCTTCCTGCCTCAGCCTCCCAAAGGGCTGGGATGACAAGCATGAGCCACTTTACCCAGCCTTTTTTTTTTTTCAGGAGATAAGGGTTATGCTCTGTCACCCAGGTTGGAGCTCAATGGTGCTCACCTAACTCACTGCAGCCTCAAACTCCTAGGCTCATGCAATCCTCCTGCCCCAGCCTCCCGAGTAGCTAGGATTACAGGTGCATACCACCATGCCTGGCTACTTTTTCTATTTCTTTTGGGTCTTGCTCTGTTTCACTGGCTGGTCTCAAACTCCTGGCCTCAATCAATCCTCCCACCATGGCCTCCTAAATTGCTCCTATTACAGGTGTGAGCTCCTGACCCCTGGTTTTGCCTGTGTTCCCCATCCTCCCACCCCCAAAAACACACCTTGTCCTGGGTCAGTGTCCCCAAAGCAGACCTGGGGACAGGGATTCATGGCGATGGGATTTATTAGGAGATGCTTCCACGAGAGAAGCTGTTCAAGGGGAAAGGGGCCAAGCTAAGTCCTGCTGCATAGAGAGTAACTGATTTGACCCAGTTGGAAACTCAGGCCACAGGGCAGGTCATGCTGGACCTGGGGTCTGCATCCCTCTGGCAGGCACTGGCCACCCCAGAGGATGTGAATTTCCAGCACGTCCCACTTCCCTAGAGCCTTGATGACCAAGTGGCTCTGGCAACTTCAGGATGCAGGTGATGGCTGCTGGGTCTTCGAGGCCATCAGGAGCTGATGGAAAGCGATCCTGACAGCACCTGCTTTGCTCTGTCAGGACCTGTCATTGACTGAGTGATTGACTGATTGACTGATTTTAAGGCAGGGTATTGCTTTGTTGCTCAGCCTGGAGTGCGGTGGTGTGATCACAGGCTCACTGGAGCCTCAAACTCCTGGGCTCAAGTCATCCTTCTACCTCAGCCTCCCCAAGAGCTAGCTAAGACTGTAAGTCTGCCCCACCACACCTGTTTTTTTTTTTTTTCTATTTTTTGTGGAGACAGGGTCTTGCTATGTTGCCCAGGCTGATCTCAAACTCCAGGCCTCAAATGATCCTCCCACTTAAACCTTCCAAAGCACTGGGATGCCAAGCGTGAGCTGCTGTGCCCAACTCACCTCTCATCGTTTGTTACACGCACTTGGTCACAAATCTGTCTCCCCGTTAGAATCCTCCCAATGCCTGGCACAGAACACGTACCTAATAAAGAATTTGGTGAGTGAATGAATGAATGAATGAATGGAAGGGAGAAGACAGGGATGACTCCGCCCATTTTCAGCTGAAAGTAACAGGCTCAGAGAGGTGAGTGATTTACCCAGCATTCCACAGGGGGTGAGCCACACTCTCATGGGCCTTCTGACAATGCATCCAACACTTTTGAACTTGGTGGGGCGATGCCCCCTTCCCCAGCTCTTTCATTCAGAGTCCAAAATAACTATTGACTCAGCTGGAGAATGACAGGACAACTTCCTCTTTCCAGACCACAGAGGCCTCAGGATTTTCGAGGAAGTGTGGGGCGGGGGGCTGTGGGGCGTGTTTTCTTCTAGCTGCTCCATAAAGGGCAGAGGGGGAGAGTTTAGGGTACACTGCAAGGACTCGAGCTCTTTATCCCCAGGTCCTTTCTTCCTGCACGTCAGCTTTGAGCCCCAAGCTGGTGCTTCTGCTCTCTGGGACATGGCGAGCCCGATGACCGTCGTAACCAGCCTTCTGTTTCTTGCTGTCTGTGCCCACCACATCATCCCTACGGGTAAGACCTCGGGCAGGGTGCAGTTCCAAGGGCATGGCTGGGATGGCACAGTGGAGGGTGAAGGACCGACCAGCCTGGGGAAAGGGCAGCCCGGTGAATGGACTGGCAGTGTGTGGTGCAGGGTTCAGACTCCAGCTCCGAGGCACAGAGCTGAGGGCAGGCTGGGAAAAGACGTGGCTCTTCTCTCTCCTCTTTCAGATTCTGTGATGCTCCCCTCTTCCTGCTGCATGTTGTTTATTTCCAAGAGACTTCCTGAGAACCGAGTGGCCAGCTACCAGCTGTCCAACAGGAGTGTGTGCCCCAACGCAGGAGTGATGTAGGTATCCTTCGCGGGCACGTTGGCAGGAGACGGGTGGGGGAAGGTGACCCGAGAAGCAAGGTCAGCCAGCCCCGGCTCCGTGCATCCCTGGAGAAGTCACCCCACCTCTCTGGGCCCCAACTTCCTTGCCCATAAAACTAGGAGGAGGATATATTTGTTTTTTAAATTTCATTTAATTTTCTAAAGAGAGTCATGCTCTGTCACCCAGGCTGGAGTGCAGTGGTACAATCATAGCTCATTGCAGCCTCAACCTCCTAGGCTCAAGTGATCCTCCCGGTTCAGTCTTCCAAAGTGCTAGGATTTTTTTTTTTTTTTTTTTTTTTTTTTAAAGATGGGGTTTCACCATGATGGCCAGGCTGGTCTTGACCTCCTGACCTCAGGTGATCCACCCACCTTGGCCTCCCAAAATGCTACTGATTACAGGTGTAAGCCACTGCGCCTGGCCAAGTGCTAGGATTATAGGCATGAACCACCATACCCAGCCAGGAGGAGAATTTTGTTGTTGTTGTTGTTGAGGCGGAGTCTCTATCACCTAGGCTGGAGTGCAGTGGTATGATCATAGCTCATTGCAACCTCAACTTCCTGGGCTCAAGTGATCTTCCTATCTCAGCCTCCCAAAGTGTCAGGATTACAAGTGGCTCACGTCTGTCTCTGCTTTGGGAGGCTGAGGCAGGAGGGTTGCTTAAGGCAAGGAGTTTTAAGACCAGCCTGGGCAACATAGTGAGACTCTGTTTCTTTAAAAACTAAAAAAAAAAAAAAAAATTAGCTGGGCATGATGGCATGTGCCTGTAGTCCCAGCTACTCAGAAGGCTAAGGCAGGAGGATCGCTTGAGCCTGGGAGGATTGAGGCTGCAGTGAGCTATGATTGCCACTGCATTGCCGCCTGGATGACAAAGTAAGACACCCTGTATCAAAAAAGGAAGATGACATCATCTCAGCAAATTGCGAGGAGGCCTTACTGTCTCTGGGCATCCACATCCTCCTCCCCATGAAGTGGGGTGGCCCAAGATCCCTGTAGACCTCAGCCGATTCCTTGTTCCTTTCTTCCACAGCTTCACCACCAAGAAGGGCCATCAGTTCTGTGGCGACCCCAAGCAGGAGTGGGTCCAGAGGTACATGAAGAACCTGGATGCCAAGGAGAAGAAATCTTCTTCTAGGGCCAGGCCAGTCGGTGTCAGGGTGCCTGTTCAGAGACTTCTCAACAACCAAACCACTCTCTAATCACCGTCCAGCCCTCCAGCCCTGAGTCTGTTCCTGGTCTACTAGGGGACTGGGGAAGCCATAGTGATGGGGGGAAGGGCTAATTTCCCCCTTTTTTTTAAGCAACATTCTCCAGGGATGTGTCTCTTCTATGAAAAACCCAAGGGAGCAGGCGATATGGTCCTTGCGGAGGCCTGAGCAAAGGCTCCAAGCATCTGTGGCCTCTTGCTTTTCTGGAGGTGGGGAGAAGATCCTGGAAGGAGGGCAGGGGCGACTCTTTGCCCTTCTTCTGACCTGGTTCAAATGTTTATGTTTTTTGAGACAAAGTCTCGCCCCATCACCCAGGCTGGAGTGCAGTGGCTTGACCTCAGCTCACTGCAACCTCTGCCTCCTGGGTTCAAGGGATTCTTGAGCCTCAGGCTCTTGAATACCTGGGACCACAGGCACATGCCACCACGGCCACCTAATTTTTGTATTTTTAGTAGAGATGGGGTTTCATCATGTTGGCCAGGCTGGTCTCAAACTCCCGGCCACAAGTGATCCATCCACCTTAGGCTCCTGAAGTGCTGGGATTACAGGCGTGAGCCACCACACCCAGCCTACTCAAACTTTTATGTTGGAAAAAAAAAAAAAAAAAAGTAAATCATATATATATATATTTTTTAAAAGAGACGGGGTTTCACCATGTTGGCCAGGATGGTCTCGATCTCTTGACCTCGTGATCTGCCTGCCTCAGCCTCCCAAAGTGCTGGGATTACAGGCGTGAGCCACTGTGCCCAACAATTTTTTTTTAAAGGAATGAACATGGAGAACTGGTAAAGGGTCAGCTTGGGCAGTTTAATATTTTTGGGAAGATACATGACTTTAAGAGGGTTCTCTGTTTTGTGACAGTTTGCTGTTTTGGGGCCAAGGGCTTTTAAATCTGGGCTCATCTCGCATTTTGGTGAGGGGAAGATAGGGTGGGGGAAAAGGAGGATAAAAGACCCTAGCTGTGTTTCTTTCTATACATGAGATACTATGTAGGTTTATCAAGAGCGTAGACGCATTCGCTGTTTCCGAACAGTCCGAATAAAATGTGATCTTTTTTTCTTTGAAGCTCGTTGTGTCTTGCGTGTTCTCTTTCTTTGTTTTTTTGAGATAGAGTCTCACTTTTGTTGTCCCAGGCTGGAATGCAATGCACGATCTCAGCTCATTGAAACCTCCACCTCCCGGGTTCAAGCAATTCTTATGCCTCAGCCTCCTGAGTAGCTGGGGTTACAGGTGCCCATCACCACACCTGGCTAATTTTTTTTGGATTTTTAGTAGAGACGGGGTTTCACCCTGTTGGTCAGGCTGGTTTTGAACTCCTGACCTCGGTTGATCCACCCGCCTCAGCCTCCGAAAGTGCTGGGATTATAGGCATGAGCCACTGCGCCTGGCATTGTGTGTTCTTGACTCTCCTGGAGGGGGTAGGATTGGGCTATGACCAATGGTATACAAGCCCCAGAAACCATCCCAGGCTGCCTCTCCAAGGCTGAAAGGGATGAAAACAGCCAGAGCCCAAGGCATGCCGCTGAGAGTCCTGTTACGGACTTTGAAAAACACACATACACAGCTAGATTCAATTAAATAATTAAAAAATTTTTGAGACGGGGTCTCACTCTTGCCCAGGTTCGACTACAGCAGTGCAATCATAGTTCACTGCTGCCATGAAATTCTGGGCTCAAGCAATCCTCCCATCTCAGCTTCTCTAAGTAGCTGGGACTATAGGTGTGCACCAACACACCTGGCTAATCTTTTAATTTTTTGTAGAGATGAGATTTTGCTATGTTGCCTAGGCTGGTCTAGAACTCCTGGCTTCAAGCAGTCCTCCCACCTCAGCCTCCCAAAACACTGGGATTAAAGGTATGAGACATTGCACCCAGCCCCACTGTATTTTTTTTTTTTTTTTTTTTTTTTTTGAGGCAGAGTTTCACTCTTGTTGCCCAGGCTGGAGTGCAATGGTGCCATCTCAGTTCACTAAAACCTCCACCTCCTGGATTCAAGCGATTCTCCTGCCTCAGCCTCCCAAGTAGCTGGGATTACATCATGCCTGGCTAATTTTGTATTTTTAGTAGAGATGGGGTTTCACCATGTTGGTCAGGCTGGTCTTGAACTCCTGACCTCAAGTATCCACCCGCCTCAGCCTCCCAAAGTGCTAGGATTACAGGCATGAGCCACCATGCCTGGCTCCAAATTAAATTTTTAAAATATATCAACAAACATGTGATTGCACACAGAATTATTACGGGTATTGGGAGGCTAAAAAATGATCCACGATGATGTCTTGCTTGAAATAATTAGAATTATAACATGAACACGCCCATAAATCAAGAGCACTGTGGGTTCAGTGCCAGTTCTGCTTTGCAAGTTACACGACCTTGAAAGAGAAAGCCTCTTTTTCTATGCCTGCAACAGTTTTGACACCAAATATGTAAGTTCTCCACACCATGCAGCTTTCTAATTCTCTGGCTGGGCCCAGTGGCTCATGCCTGTAATCCCAGCACTTTAGGAAGCCAAGGTGGGAGGATCAAGTGAGCCCAGCAGTTCAAGATCAACTGGAATAACATAGACTCTTTCTCTACCAAAAAAAAAAAAAAAAAAAAAAAAAAAAAAAAAAATATATATATATATATATATATATATATATATATATATATAAAATATCATTTATTTTATTTGTATTTATTTATTTATTTTGAGATGGACTCTTGCTCTGTCTCCCAGGCTGAAGTGCAGTGGCATGATCTCAGCTCACTGCAACGTCCACCTCCCAGGTTCAAGTGATTCTCCTGCCTCAGCCCCCTGAGTAGTTGAGACTACAGGCATGTGCCACCACGTCCGGCTAATTGTTGTACTTTTAGTAGAGATGGGGTTTCCCCATGTTGGACAGGCTGGTCTCAAACCCCTGACTTCAAGTGATCTGTCTGCCTTGGCCTCCCAAAGTGCTGGGACTACAGACATGAGCCACTGCACCTGGCCTACAAAAAGTTTAAAAAGTAGCTGCGTTTGGTGGTGTAAGCCTGTAGTCCCAGCTACTTGGGAGGCTGAGGTAGGAGGATTGCTTGAGCCCAGGAGATCAAGGATGCAGTAAGCCATGATCACGCCACTGCATGCCAGCCTGGGCAACAGAGTGAGACTCCGTCTCAAAAAAAAAAAAAAAAAAAAAAAAAAAAAGATACATGATAAGCAGAGCATGGTGGCTCATGCCTGTAATCCCAGCACTTTGGGGGGCTGAGGCAGGCAGATGGCTTGAGCCCAGGAACTTGAGACCAGCCTGTGCAACATAGTGAACTCTTGTCTCCACAAAAAATTAAAAATTAAAAAACAGAGTGCATGATTTAGCAAAGGACAGTCAGGGGTCAAGCCACTGGGAAGTGGCATGAGACCCTGTCATGGAGAACACTTGAGATTGTCCAGAAGAATGTTCCCCCAAGCTGGGAAAGAGCCAAGAGAGCAGAGAACTCTGAGAAGTCCAGCATGGCGAGTACACCAGTTTATGAGGAGTTAAATACAGAGACTCCTAGCTAGCAGCAGGATGCCTTCAGAGACCACCCCCTGCTACCCGTCTGTCTCGATGCTACTTTGAAGCTAATTTTCTGGCTCTTTGCCTACTGTATGCAATGAAACTGTTTTCCTTGGTTATATTCCCAGACATGCTCTGGGAGGTTTGAGTTCTCAGTGACACCAGCACTATGGCCTGGGAGGTGAAGTTTAAGCAGCAGACATATAAGAGGTTCTAATCCAGACCCCAAGAGAGGGTTCTTGGATCTTGCACAAGAAATAATTCAGAGTTAAGTGAAAGCAAGCTTATTAAGAAAGTAGAAGAATAAGGCTTGGCACAGTGGCTCACGCCTGTAATCCCAGCACTTTGGGAGGCCGAGGTGGGCGGATCATGAGGTCGGGAGATTGAGACCAGCTTGGCCAACATCGTGAAATCCCATCTCTACTAAAAAATGCAAAAATTAGCTGGGCGTGGTGGCACATGCCTGTAGTCCCAACTACAGGCTGAGGCAGGAGAATCGCTTGAACCCAGGAGGTGGAGGTTGCAGTGAGCCGAGATAGTATCACTGCACTCCAGCCTGCGCAACAGAATCAAGACTCCATCTCAAAAAAAAAAAAAAAAAATTAGAGGAATAAAAAGAATGGCTACTCCGTAGACAGAGGAGCCCTGAGGGCCGCTGGGTGCCCACTTTTATGGTTATTGCTTGAAGATATGCTAAGGAAAAGGTGGGTTATTCATGCCTCCCCTTTTTAGACCGTCTAGGGTAACTTCCTGACATTGCCATGACATTTGTAAACTGTCATGGCGCTGGTGGGAATGTAGCAGCGAGGATGACCAGCGGTCACTCTTGTCACCATCTTGGTTTTGGTGGGCTTTGGCCAGCTTCTTTAATGGCAACCTGTTTTAGCAGCAAGGTCTTTATGACCTGTACCTTGTGCCAACCTCCTATGTCATCTTGTGACTTGGAATGCCTTAACCATCTGGGAATGCAGCCCAGTAGTGCTCAGCCTCATTTACTGAGCCTGTATTTAAGATGGAGTTGCTCTGATTTACACACTTCTGACACATATACTTCTTTTTTTTTTTTCCTTTGAGATGGAGTCTTACTCAGTCGCCCAGGCTGAAGTGCAGTGGCACAATCTTGGCTCATTACAGCCTCCGCCTCCCAGGTTCAAGCTATTCTCTGCTTCAACATCCTGAGAGCTGGGATTAAGTCATGTGCCATGATGCCCAGCTACTTTTTGAATTTTTCATTAAGGCAGGGGTTCATCATGTTGGCCAGGCTGGTCTCGAACTCCTGGCCTCAAGTGATCCACCCACCTCGGTCTCCCAAAGTGCTGGGATTACAGACATGAGCCACTGTGCATGACCAACATATACCCTTAAATAACCTCATGGAAATCTATCAGCCTACAGATCCATCCCCCTTGGAAGTACATACCCACTCCATCAGTCTTTGCCAGCTGTGTGTGAGGGGTGGGCTTTCAGCAAGTGGGAGCAGAGTAAGTTCCCATTGTTCAAAAAAGGTTCCAAGGCACAGAGAGCCACATACTGGCAGCCAGAAGTCCGCAGAGCACAGAGTCCCAGTAGTAGGCATTGCCACTAAAGTTATTGTAAGTCTAATGCGAAGCAGAGTAAGTAGCAGTGCTAAACAATACATAGCAGGGCACATTCTGATGGGGAGAGCAAGCCTGCAGAACCAGCTTTGCAGAGTTGTTACCCGAATGGTGAGTGGGATTCCAGTTTGAAGAGAGAGGTTGTTCCTAAGGAGGGAGGAGAGCCAGAGCATTCAGGGACGAGACTGAAATACAGTGTCCCAAC